TTTTCACTACTCTGTCTTCCAGCTCGTTAATCTGTTCTTAGGAATCCTCTATCTGCTTTCAGATCCCTCTAGTATGTTTTTCATTTCAGTTACTGTATTCTTTAGCTCTTATTTTTTTTAATATTTTATATCTTTGTTGATACTCTCACTGAATTCATCCACTCTTCTCTCAAATCTGGTGAGCATTTTTGCAAACACTACTTTGAACTCTTTATCAGTAGATTGCCTACCTACATTTTGTTCAGTTCTTTTTCTGGGGTTTGTCCTGTTCTGTTGTTTAGACTGTTCTTCTTTTAATTTTGTCTGACTCTCTGTGTTTGTTTCTATGTATCGGTAGGTCAGGTATGTCTCCTTGAAAATAGTGGCTTTGTATGCAGGGTGTCAGCGGGGGGCAGTAGTGCAGTCCACTGGTCACCAGAACCAGGTGCTTCAGGAATGTCTCCTGTGTGAGCTGCATGCATCCTCCTGTTAATGACTGAGCCACAAGTTTTATGGGCATTCTGATGGCAGGTCTGGGTTAGATTGGCTGACTGCAATGACTGGATGTGACTACTGCCAGCATACTGGTGAGCAGGGCTATTCCCTGGCACAGATGGTGGAGAGGCCTGGCTGATGCTGCTGAGGGGGTGCTGGTTGGTGGGATTAGCCTCTGGCAGAGCTCGCTGACAGGCTCTACTATAACTATTGTGGACTTGCTGGCAGGTGGTGCTGGCCCCCCTTAGTGGGGCAAAAGACACTTTGGAGTGGTGCCTGTTGAGGTGGGCAGGTAGGGTGGGGGTGGGTCTTTGGGGGTAATGTTGGGGCTGGGTAAGCACTGCTAGCAAGTTAGATAGAGATTGTCAGTGCTGTCTTCCACCAGTGTTGGGCTAGCGAGGCTGAAGAGTGTCAAGAATAATGGTGCTCATCAGCAATTCCATTCCCAGGAAAGTTCCTACTGATCCCTGCCCCTCTAGCACATGCTCTAAAGTTAGTCAAAATTTTTCTTCATGTAGGGCCCAGGTGCTTTTTGAACACTTGCCCCTCTTCTGGGTGTTGGAGTGAATGCTATAATGTGCTGGTTTCTTTAAGAGTAGAATCTCAGTTCTGTAGCCCTCCGGTTCTTCTGGAGTTAAGCCCTGCTGATTTTCAAAGCCAGACGTTATGGGGGCCTGTCCTTCCAGCACAGATCACCAGGTGGGGAGTATACCTAATGTGGGGCTTTTTGCCCTTGCTCTTCAGGAAGGACCTCTACATTTTTGATATCCCACTTGCTTGTCACTGCACCAGGGTTTTGATTCCCAGCCACATCTCTGGCCCTTCTACTCTTCTTCTTTTTTTTTTTTCCCCTTCTACCCTTCTTGATGTGGCTTTTTCTTTACATTTTTAGCTGTGGAAGAGCTAGTCTGTTAGTCTTTAGGTCATTTTCAGATTGAGTTACACTATATGTAGTTGGAGCCTTGATGAGTGAGTTCAGGATTCTCTTACTTCACCATCTTCCCAAATTCTCCAAAATGTGAGTTTTTTAAGAATTGTGTTTTAATCCCCATGACTTTTTAAAAAAGCAAATTGGTGTTATTATATAGGGTTATACTTCTGGGTTATTAAAATTTAGAAAAACCTTGGTACTTCTGAAATTTAGCTCTTTTTTGGAGTTATTTTAAGAAGATAACCAATCTCAGTGTACTTCTTTCAGAGCCTTCAAGGTCATATAATAAGGTAAACCTGTATGTTATCCATACTGAATTCACAACCCTGAGATCAAGACCTGAGCTGAGATCAAGAGTTGGACACTTAACTGACTAAGCCACTCAGGTACCCTGTTACATGCATATTTAAAAAATTGTGATAAAATATACATAAACATAAAATTCATCATCTTAATCAGATTTAAGTGTACAGTTCAGTAATGTTAAGTATATTCACATTGTTGTGCAGCCAGTCTCCAGAATTTTTTGTCTCTCAAAACTGAAACTCCATACCTGTTAAACAATTCTTGATTCTCCCACCTCCCAGCCCCTGGTAACCACATTCTCCTCTCTGCTTCTGTGAATCCGACTACTCCAGATACCTCATATAAGTGGAATCACACAGCATTTGTCTGTCACTTGCTTATTCACATAGCACAGTGTCTTCAAGGTTCATCCATGCTGTGGCATTTGTCAGCATTACCTTTCTTTTTAAGACTGAACATGCTATTGTATGTATATACCACATTTTGTTAATTTATTCATGCTTTGTTGGATACCTTGGTTGTTTCCATCTTTTGGCTATTGTGAATAATGCTTCTATGAACATGGGTATACAAATATTTGAATCCCTACTTTATATTCTTTTGGGTATGTATCAGAAGTAAAATTGCTGGATGGCAATTTTATTTTTAATTTTTTGAGGAACCACTGTATGTTTTCCATACCAGCTATAGCATTTTATATTACAATCAAGAGTTCATAGGGGTGGGCGCCTGGGTGGCTCAGTTGGTTGGGCGACTGCCTTTAGCTCAGGTCATGATCCTAGCGTCCCTGGATCGAGTCCCGCATCGGGCTCCCTGCTCAGTGGGGAGTCTACTTCTCCCTCTTACCCTCCCCCCTTTCATGTGCTCTCTCTCTCATTCTCTAGCTCTCAAATAAATAAATAAAATCTTTAAAAAAAGTTCGTAGGGGTTCCAGTTTTCTATATCCTTGCTGACATTTGTTTTTCTTTTCTTTTTTTTTTAATAATAGCCATTCTAATGTGGTGAAGTAGTATCTCATTCTAGTTTTGATTTGCATTTCACTAATAATTAATGATGTTGAATATCTTTTCATGTGATTATTGGCCATTTATATATTACATTTGGAGAAATGTCTATTCAAGGTCTTTGCCCATTTTTAATAGGGCTCTTTGTTTTTTTGTTGTTGTTTTAGGAGTTCTTACCAGATACATGATTTGTAAATATTTCTCCCATCCTGTAGATTACTTTCTTACTCTGTTGATAGTATCTTTTGAGTCACAGTGTTTTAAATATTGATGTTGTTCAATTTAATCTATTTTTACTTTTGTTGTCTGTACTTTTGGTGTCATATCCAAGAAATCACTGCCAAATCCAACGTAATGAACTTTCCCCCCATATTTCCTTCTAAGAGTCTTATTATATAAATTAGGTCTTAATGTTTAGATCTTTGATCCATTTTGAGTTAGTTTCTTTGGTGCAAGAAAAGGTTCAACCTCATTCGTTGGCATGTGGATATCCAGTTTTCTCAGCACCATTTGTTGAAAAGATTGTTCTTTACCCATTGAATGGTCATAGTACTCTTGTTGAAAATCAAAATCATTTGATTACATCTGTGAGGGTTTATTTCTGGGCTTACCATTCTATTCCACTGCTGTATCTTTTTTAAAAAATATTTTATTTATTTGAGAGAGAGAGATACAGTGAGAGAGGGAACACAAGCAGGGGGAGTGGGAGAAGGAGAAGCAGGCCTCCTGCCCAGCAGGGAGCCCAACACAGGGCTCAATCCCAGGATCCTGGGATCATGACCTGAGCCAAAGGCAGATGCTTAATGACTGACCCACCCAGGAGCCCCTGTTTTTATATATTTAAAAAAATATAATTAATGAAGTTTTAGAATATAATATTACTTACAAATTTGATAATTCTTATTTTTATTATTGTATAGATGGTAAGAAAAAATGTAATATTAGTTTGGGTTATTTGGGTTTTTAATGAACCAAAACCATTAAGAGAGAAGTATTGCAAACAGTTTATTCTGGTAAAAGGCACAGTGTCATAGCTAATATGAATTATTGTGGAAATTATTCGAGATCTGAGAATTTTGAAGAATAGTCAGAAAAGTTCATAGATCCATTCCTGAATGAGAAAGTGAGCCTCTCAGTGCATGTGCTACCTAGCTGTTCTTGTCTATGCCACTATTCTCACTTTAGAGCTGTGGTGGTAGCAGAGCAGGAATATTAATTTCTTGGAATAATTAATTAGTAAACATCCCCAGGTTCACAGTGTTGGGAAAATACAACATTTATATATGGATATTGTCAAGGATCTCTTGTATAATATATTCTTACTACTGTCTAGACTTGGTTTTCTATATATTTGAGTTAATTTTTCCAGAGGCATGTGAAGGGGGGAAAATGGGCAATTTAAGAATTAAAATTGTTTACTTTTCATTTAGGTAACTGGCAAACTTATCATCATTATGATTATATAGGACAAATAGTTTTATTTATATGTATATTTTATCTTAATGTCTCATTTAAATTTTTACTTTTTTGCATTGACTATATTTATTTAGCATAGACTATGTCTACTTACATAGGACCTAGAAATAAAACTGAACTTTTCTACCAGTCTCTCACATCGTTGTGGAAGATTGTGGTGAAATGAATAAAAGGATATGGTAGATCAGGAAATGTGGTTTGTATTTTTAGTTAATGACTATTTATTAGAAAATTTGGAGAAAATGTGTGCAATCTTGACAGAACTATACTTTCTCAATACAATTTTTTCTTTAAAAACATTAGTTAACTTTTGATTATTGTGATAAAGAAGGATGGGAATAGTAAAATGAAAATTTGCTGGTAAATACATCTCTTTTTAGTATGGCTCACATACCATGTATTACTAAATCTTTTCCAGAGCAGTAGCAAACTGAAAAATCTAATTTGAGTTTTACTTCCTTTCTTCGTCATACCGTCTGGTAGAAGTACAGATGAATAGGAAGCAGGGAGAAAAATCTGAAGTATAAAAGCCTTCAACTTAATTAACTTTTAACTATAACATTTAAATATATAATATACCTCATGTATGACATTTGAAAAAGATGTTGATTATTCTAGACATTTACTATTGTAAAATATATGCTATCTGCTAATGAATGGGTGTCAAGAACTATGAGGGGTTTGAGATTTTTACCCTACTTGTAAACTAAGAAGTTACCAAGCAACAGTTTCATGCTGGTAGAAGACATGAGACTCCAGAGTCAGAAACAAAAGACAGTTTATTACTCATAGTAATAGTAGCTGGAGTGTCAACTTTTGGTGGGGGCATTGATTCCAAAGCCCATTCCCACAGGGTAATGTAAAGAGGGTCAGATGATACCTGCACACAGTGGGCTATGTAAAGGATAGGAACTCTGAGCTTAAGGAACTTTAAATCTTTTCAAATGGGTGGGGAACCTGGTTGGCTTGGTCAATGGAGCATGCAGCTCTTGATCTTGGGGTTGTAAGTTCGAGCCCCATGTTTGGCATAATTACTTAGCAATAAAATCTTTACCAAATAAGAAAATAAAACTTATCAACTGGGTAGTAAGCATGCCTGACCTGTGCTGCAGAGATGGTATCTGGCTCCAAGGGACATTCTTTGCCTCATAGCAATAATTCAAGAGACCCATAGAAAATTGTCTCCCAACAATGGGTCTGGGTGGAAATTTTTGCATAATAAATTTCTTATTCATAATGCAAATGAATAATGTAAACAAGATCACAAGAAATGTTTAAAATACTTGGGAGAACCAAGTTTAAATACTTTACTTTTTAAGCACCTAATGTACAATTTAAGAAACTTTGAAAATTTTACATTATTGAAAATAAATTAAGGACTTTTATTTATGATCACTGCTGTTATGCTACATGTTTTTGAGACTAATAGAAGTTTATTTTGAGAATATTCTGAATTTAAAACTCTTAACTAATTCATACTGTTTTTCCTCTTTTTAATCTGTACAGGGAGATTCTAATCTGTACCAGGCCATGAAAAATTTAGATGTGAAAAATTAAAAAAATTTTTTTAAGTAAAAAGGAAGTTTTTTTTATTGTTTATACCAAGCCAAAGTGAACCATTCTGAGAGAACCACCATCTCCAATTTCCTGAAAGTAAAAACAAATAAAAACAATTAAAATCATGTTTGAGTAAACAATAATTGACTTAATATTTATATCTTTAATATTTTAATTTAAATATCAGAAAACATTGAAACAAAATAAAATGCACTAAATATATGTACATAAGAGAACTGTGTATTTTTCTTACTGTTAAAATATTGATAACAGTATTAATAAAAGTCAGTAAAGAGAAATAACATATGAAGCATAAAAGACAAAGAAGGAAGGACAGGATATTAGTTGAGATTTGAAAGCATGTGAAGGCCCCTACAGTGAAAAGTTGCAAACTGTGGGTCCTCATTTGTGATTCTTCCTATTACCTATTTGATTTTACAATACTGTCTGTTCTCAAAAGTCTGATATAACATGTATTTCTTCATTTTGGTGTTTTACTGAGTATTTGATAGTGGCTTTTCAGGTAATGTTTCATAGAAAAGATCATGGTTTTCTTTTTTTTTTTTTTAAGATTTTTATTTATTTGACACAGAGAGAGACAGTGAGAGAGTGAACATAAGCAGGGGGAGTGGGAGAGGAAGAAGCAGGCTTCCCGCCAAGCAGGGAGCCTGATGCGGGGCTCGATCCCAGGGCCCTGGGATCATGACCTGAGCTGAAGGCAGACACTTAACAACTGAGCCACCCAGGCACCCCAAGATCATGGTTTTCTAAGCCCTTCATAAAATTTTATGAAGCTGCAAATAGATGCAAGGACTTCATCCATTTCCCATTTTTAAACTTTCTTTCACCCCTTCCCCCAACCTCATTAAGTATAGATAAACAAAAAATTTTATGATAGGATTCTGAAATTGGAGTATGTTTAAACATAGCACCAAAGGTGAATGATATTATTTAGAAAACAGTACAGTGGGGACATTTTTGAAAGTCTGGAGATAACCTACTTAGAGTTGAAAGGTAAAGGGGAAAAGTAAAGAGCATAGGGATGGTGGTTGGTACTTAAACTAACATGTCATATTGGAGACATTTCTCTTATGTAAAAAAATTTAAAGTTATTCCTTAATTATATTTGAAAGTTCTTTTTAGTAAGAGAAGCCTTTCAGAAATTTGTTATTTCTAGAAGAAAACAGGTATGGGGTTGGCAAGTAAGGGAAACATGTATGTATGCATGTGTCTGTGGATCCTGATTAACACAAAATTTAAAAAAAAAACCCAACCTGGAAAAACAGGTAACAAGAATGAGTAATTTAATATTGCCTGAGGCGTGTGTGTGTGTGCTGGCAAGTTCAGGGGTTTTAGGTAGCTTTGAATTTTGAAACAAAAAACATTGAATACACCAGCATTTTAAAAAACATAAGTTCCAATTCTTGGCTTATAAACCACTATAGCAAAAACCTATCCTGTACATCAGTAGAATGGTCATCAAGAAAGCTGGATTTAGCTTTTGGTCTTGTTAACTAACTGGCAGAGATCCTAGGTAAATTATTTTATTTTTCTAATATCTGGTTATAATTGTTGCTGGAAGGCCAGATTTTGCATACTCGAAGTATCTGGTTCAGCCATATTCTTGATGTATACATAGTGTCTTATGTTAAGAATTACATTTTAAAAAGTAGGAATCTTGGGGCTCCTGGCTGGCTCAGACGGTTAAGTGTCTGCCTTCAGCTCAGGTCATGATCCCAGGGTCCTGGGATCAAGCCCAGCATCGGGCTCCCTGCTCAGCGGGAAGCCTGCTTCTCCCTCTCCCTCTGCCTGCTGCTTCCCTTGCTTGTGCTCTCTCTCTGTCAAAAATAAATAAAATCTTGGGTGCCTGGGTGGCTCAGTTGGTTGATCGACTGCCTTCGGCTCAGGTCATGATCCTGGAGTCCCAGGATCGAGTCCCGCATCGGGCTCCCTGCTCAGCGGGGAGTCTGCTTCTCCCTCTGACCCTCCCCCCTCTCATGTGCTCGCTCTCTCTCTCTCTCACTGTCTCTCAAATAAAAAAAAAAAAAATCTTTAAAAAAAAAAAATAAATAAAATCTTAAAAAAATTAAAAAGTAGGAATCTCAGAATTAACTTCTCAAGAATCTCCCAGGACTTAAAAAAAAAAAAAAAAGCTTTGAAGAGTTTCCTTAAAAATTCAGCCTATTTTTAAAAGACTTACTTCAGGGCATTTCCAGGATTTCCATGATAATGTGTTCCATGCTGAATAACATTGACTTGTACCTTGTTTAACTTAGAAGAATATTTTGATGATTAATGAAATAATTGTTTTGTATACTCATTTATTATTTAAAAGTATATTCATTAAATAGAACTTGGAACACAGGAAGTATAAAAATTTACCCATATTCTCACCAGTATTATGAAACTGTGGTTTACCGTGTATCTGCTTCAGTCTTTTTTCCCCCCACATGTTTTATTTTTTAAAATATAGTTTAAATCATATTATATATACAATTCTATATATTTTAGAGGGTTTTGCCTTACTTTGAACACTTTTTTCAGTGTTCCCACAGTCTTTCTTTAATGGCTAAATTTTAGTCCATTAAATACTATAGCTTTATTTAACCATTCCTTATTTTTTTGGTTAAATTGATATTCATTCCTAATTTCCTTTTTTTTTTTTTAAATAACTCAGTGATAGACATTCCTTTTTTTTTTTTTTTTTGTGATAGACCTTATTAGGCATGGCAGTTTTTTTGTGTTCAGGATTATTTCCTTGGTATGGAGTTGCAGAAATAGAATTATTGGAGCAAAGCTTATGAAATTTTAGGCCTCTGGATAAACACTGTAGAATTGGTAGTTTTGCTTTGTTTCTTCCCTGGCTTGGGAGGAGGTGATTTTGTTTGGTAATGGGAAGTATGGTTTCAGTGGAGGATGATCTTCATCTTATTATGTGCTGAAATTGTGCTCACCCTTGACTGAATGGTTACATGTTAATTCCTGTAATAATTTACTGCAACAAAAGGGTTTTCCCCAGACCCTCATTTGATTTCAACATATAGTTATGCACATTTTTCTAAGCCACACCCTCTTGCTGTTACCTAATGTTGGGTAATAGCAGGTCACTCTCTTTTAAATGTACATAGACTTCCATAAGACAAATTCTGTAGACAAGACAACTCGTTCTGTAGACAAGTTAAGCTTTGCTTTGCTACAAATTGGATTTTGACCTGTTCCTCACTTAATACAGATTTTTTTTTAATACTAAGCGATCATCTCATTATTTTATATTAGGTTTCCCCTCATGGTCTCATTCAACATTTCTGATTTGGTTCAACAGTAATTAAATCCCAGAAGTATACTGTTTTAGAGATAGAAGAAAGTTTCCTAATTTGCAGTCTTTTCATTTTACAGATGAGGAAACCAAGGTTCATACAGGTTAAGTCTTTTATCCAAAGTTACTCATATAGTGGCAGAACTGGGATGAGAATTTAGTTATATCTCTGTGAAGTGCTTTTTTCCACTACAGCTTCTTTATGTAGTAACAGGGAACATGTGTTCCACAGGCTACTTTATGATTTACTCCTAGGATTGCCTTTACTTGTCATTTAAAACTCTTGTTTATAGGCATGCCAGTAGCCCACCCCTGTGTGACAGGAGATGCTTTCTTTTCTTTCTTTCTTTCTTTCTTTCTTTCTTTCTTTCTTTCTTTCTTTCTTTCTTTCTTTCTTTTCTTTCTTTCTTTCTTTCTTTCTTCCTTCCTTCCTTCCTTCCTTTCTTTCCTTTCTTTCTTTTTTTCTTTCTTTGTTTCTTTTCTTTTCTTTCTCTTTCCTTTCTTTCTTTCTTTCTTTTAAAGATTTATTTATTTTAGAGAGAGAGAGTGCACACATGTGGGGGGGAGGGGCAGAGGGAGAGGGAGAGAATCTTCAAGCAGACTCCCCACTGAGCATGGACCACCCCCTGCCTCCATGCAGGGCTCGATCCCACTACCCATGAGATCATGACCTGAGCCAAAACCCAGTCAGAGGCTTAACCGACCGAGCCACAAGATGCTTTCTTGTGCAGTCAGGTTGTCCAGTTACTCAAGTTTCACTATTGACTGTTAACTCTGCTTCTTGCATATTTGGATCATACAGGGATTTTTTTTTAATCAGTGTTCCAGAGTTGTGGTGCTTGATGCTTTTTCTAGAAAATGAAATCTTAAATTGACTACAATCTAGCAGTTACCAGAGGTTGGCTTAAGGCTTCTGATACTTACGAGAGACAGGCTAATAGATAAGCTAACTATCTAATTTTCCAACTTGCTCTGTTAAGTAAACCATCAGAAAGGAATGCACTTGGAGCTTGTCCTCTCACCTCTCTACAGAACTGCCTTCACTGAATTGTGGTTCAGTATAATTCCAGCTTTTATAGAAGGCTTATAATGAAAACATCTATGTGAATAGGATTTCTTTTTCAAAACTCTACTTGAAGACATGTTTAGTTTTCTAACACAGACATTCTTTAGTGTGTTCCTAGTGCTGGAAAAACATTTCCATCCAGTTGAATTTACTATGTGCATACTTTAAACTATTAAGTCAGTAAAGACAATAATAATGAATGGTGTTTTGGAGTTTATAAAATGCTTTCACATTACCTAATTTTATGTAGCAGTCCTGTGATGTTATTAAATATAAGTATTCCCATTTTACAGTTTAGAAAATAGGTATAAAGAGGTATGGCTCTGAGGAAGTAGTGGAACAAAACTGGAACTGAGATAGTTTGCCTGTTAATCCTGCATTCTTTTTTTTTTTAATTTCTTAAAAATTCAGTTTAGTTAACACATAGTATAGAATTTGTTTCAGGGGTAGAATTTAGTGATTCATCAGTTGCATATAACACTCAGTGCTCATTACATCAAGTAACCCTTCTTAATGTCCATCACCCAGTTACCCCATCCCCCCACCCATATCCCCTCCGGTGACCCTCAGTTTGTTTTGCATTCTTTCTATTATATCATGGTATCTCCCAGAGTAAACCTATTTCCCTTTTTTGCCTTAGCCTCCCCAAATTCTGAGTTAAACTCTGTTTTAATTTATATATATAACAGCCCACATATTCAACAACAT